GGGAGGCAACAGCGAGTCATGGTCCGTGATGAGGTATCACAGTGGGCGCCAGTGACGAGCGGGATCCCAGAGGGGTCAGTCCTGGGACCAGTGCTATTCTTGGTATATGTGAACGACATGACATAAGAACATAAGAACGAAGGAACACTGCAGCAGGCCTACTGGCCCATGCGAGGCAGGTCCAAGTCTCCTACCGGCCAATGCACCCAACCTAGTCAGGTCAGGTCACATTGACTTAAGGGAGGAACACGGCAACCGACCTGGTAGCACAAGCTATCAGGTCCAACTCACACCCACCCACATCCACTCATGTATTTATCCAACCTATTTTTAAAGCTACACAACGTTCTGGCCTCTATAACTGTACTTGGGAGTTTGTTCCACTCATCCACAACTCTATTACCAAACCAGTACTTTCCTATATCCTTCCTGAATCTGAATTTTTCCAACTTGAAACCATTGCTGCGAGTCCTGTCTAGGCTAGATATTTTCAGCACACTATTTACATCCCCTTTATTTATTCCTGTCTTCCATTTATACACCTCAATCATATCCCCCCTAATTCTACGTCTTTCTAAAGAGTGCAGATTCAGGGCCCTTAGTCTATCTTCATAGGGAAGGTTTCTGATACATGGGATCAACTTTGTCATCCTCCTTTGTACATTTTCCAGAGCATTTATATCCATTCTGTAATACGGTGACCAAAACTGTGCAGCATAATCTAAATGAGGCCTAACCAAGGATGTATAGAGTTGAAGAACAACCTGAGGACTCCTATTATTTATGCTTCTTGATATGAAGCCAAGGATTCTATTAGCTTTATTGCTAACACTTATGCACTGTTGTCTTGGTTTCAGATTACTGCTAACCAGAACTCCTAAATCTTTTTCGCAATCCGTAATATTAAGATCTACATTATTTAGTTTATATGTGGCATGGTTATTGTCCTGTCCAACATTTAGAACTTTGCTTTTGTCTATATTAAATTGCATCTGCCACTTCTCCGACCACTGCATCAGTCTATTCAAATCTTCCTGGAGTGCTCTAATGTCCTCGTCAGAATGAATTCGACGGCCTATTTTGGTGTCATCGGCAAACTTGCTGATGTCGCTCTTTATGCCCTCATCTATGTCGTTTATGTAGATTGTGAACAGCAGGGGGCCCAACACTGACCCCTGTGGAACACCGCTCGTGACGCTTCCCCACTCTGATTTCTCCCTGTTTGCAGATGACGTGAAGTTAATGAGGAGAATTAAATCAGACGCGGACCAGACAGGTCTACAGAGAGACCTGGACAGGCTGGATGTGTGGTCCAGAAACTGGCTCCTAGAATTTAACCCTGCCAAATGCAAAGTCATGAAGATCGGAGGAGGGCAAAGAAGACTGCAGACAGAGTATAGGTGGCCAAAGGCTACAAACCTCACTCAAGGAGAAAGACCTAGGAGTGAGTATAATACCGAGTACATCGCCATTATTATTATTATAATCAAGGGGGAAGCGCTAAACCCGGAAGATTATACAGCGCCTGGGGGGGGGGGATGTGGAAGGCATTCAGGCTTAATTCGGGGAACTGGAGCACAGATCCAATTCCCTAAATCAAGAGCCCCTCACCAACATCAAGGAGCCTTCCTTGAGGGGAAGTACATCGCCAGAAGCGCACATTAACCAGATAACTGCTGAGGCAGATGGGCGCTTGGCAAACCTGAGAATAGCGTTCCGGTACCTCAGTAAGGAATCATTCAAGACTTTATACGCTGTGTACGTCAGGCCCATACTGGAGTACGCAGCACCAGTTTGGAACCCACACCTGGTCAAACACGTCAAGAAATTAGAGAAAGTTCAAAGGTTTGCAACAAGGCTAGTTCCAGAGCTAAGGGGAATGTCCTATGAAGAAAGGTTAAGGGAAATCGGTCTGACAACACTGGAGGACAGGAGGGTCAGGGGAGACATGATAACGACATACAAAATACTGCGTGGAATAGACAAGGTGGACAGAGACAGGATGTTCCAGAGATGGGACACAGAAACAAGGGGTCACAATTGGAAGCTGAAGACTCAGATGAGTCAAAGGGATGTTAGGAAGTATTTCTTCAGTCATAGAGTAGTTAGGAAGTGGAATAGTCTGGCAAGCGATGTAGTGGAGGCAGGAACTATACATAGCTTTAAGACGAGGTATGATAAAGCTCATGGAGCAGGGGGAGAGAGGACCTAGTAGCGGTCGGTGAAGAGGCGGGGCCAGGAGCTGAGTCTCGACCCCTGCAACCACAATTAGGTGAGTACACACACACACACACACACACACACACACACACACACACACACACACACACACACACGCACACACACACACACACACACACACACACACACACACACACACACACACGCACACGCACACGCGCGCGCGCGACTGGAGAAAGAGGGGGGGACATGATAACAATATTTAAAATACTGAGAGGAACTGACAAGGTGGACAGAGACAGGATGTTCCAGGGATGGGACACAGCAACAAGGGGTCACAATTCGAAGTTGAAAACCCAGATGAGTCATAGGGATGTTAGGAGGTATTTCTTTAGCCTCAGAGTTGTCAGGAAGTGGAATTATCTGGAGAGTGAAGTAGTGGAGGCACGTTCCATTCATAGCTTTAAGAAGAGGTATGATAAAGCTCATGAAGCAGGGAGAGAGTGACTTAGTATGATCATATGATCTACAGTAAGTCAATGGCAACGGAACAGTTACCAGAGATCTGGGAGACAGCAAATGTATTCCCTATATTTAAGAAAGGAGACAGACAGGAGGCGTTAAACTACAGACCAATTTCTCTGACATTCATTCCTCGCAAGGTAATGGAGAAAATTATCAGGGAAAGAGTGGTAGCACACTCGGAGAGAAGTGGTTTCATAAACAATAACCAGCATGGGTTTAATGTTGGTCCATCTTGGAGTCTGCAGCACCAGTATGGAACCAGCACATGAAAAAACTTGTTAAAAAGCTGTGGAACGTGCAGCAGTATGCAATAAGGCTTGCCACTGTGCTAAGGGGTCTGACCTACTAGGAGAGGATAACAGAATTGGACCTAACAACATTGGAGGACAGAACATGATAACAACATACAAATTCTTAGGGGAAGTTAATAAGGTAGAGAGGAATAAGCTGTTTGAGAAGCGAGAATCGGGAACTCGGGAACACTGCTGGAAGTTAAAAGTCACAGAGCCACAGGGATGTTAAGATGTATTTCTTCAGTCTCAGAGTGGTCGAGAAGTGGAATGATCTTGGTGAGGAAGTGGTGGAGGCTGGCACTGTACAGTTTTTAGAGCAGCTACGATAGTGCCTACAAGGCTAAGAGGGAGTGAATCCGAAGAGTGGCAAGTTAAAGAAGCGGGGCCAAGATCTGAGAATCGACCCCTGCAACCACAAATAGGTAAGTACACACGCATACACACGCACTCTCAGTATGGTTTAAAAGTAGAATGCTTTGAACGTGGAAGTGTTGTAAGGTTTGGGGTTCACAACGTACTTGTGCTGTTGGAGTAACGCACAGCTGCTCTGTACGGTGTTTGTTGGCAGAAATGGGTCATGTCTCATGATGTCTGCCAGGGTATTCTAGCTTATTCCTCCAGTCTGACTCATCTCGGCTGGGCTTTGCTCCGCGGGCAAGCCGGGAAGGGGGGGGGGAGGGGTTGAAATAGAGGTCAGCGTCAGTGACCTTCTAATGTGACTCAAGCTAACCATCTAAGCCTACAACGAGCTCGACTTACGTGCGTTATTTACTATTGACAAGTGGTACAGGCAAACTCATTACACATATGGAGAAATTTTCTCCAGGAGGGGGGTATCAGCCCCCTTCAGCCCCTTCAGCCCCTTTCAGCCCTGAGGGGCCCAGCCCTCTCAGAAGGGGCAAATATCTTGTTTACTGCTACAGCGAGTAATTGATCCCAGATGCAGTACCAGTATGCGACGTGGTCAAGCGACCGCCGCTCCGTGCGGTCCAGTGTTGCAGAGTGTATTTTAATAAGAGACAGTACATCTCTTACCTTAGCAGGACAATTAAGGAAAATCCTGCTCCCACTTTATTACCATAGTAAAGATAATGGACATTGTTGTCTATGCTTAAGACAGCAAGATTTAAACATTCTGCTTTGCCTCATGGAGGAAGTGGCAAGGAAGCAAAGGTACTATGTCAGCTTTTCCTTTGTACTGGGGGCAGTAACGGCGTGGGGCGCTGTGGCGTCTTCAGATTACTTTTGACTCTACTGAGAGTGACACTGACGCCAGGATAACCAACAAAGAACGATATGTGCGTTAGTGTGAACAAAGTGTCTCACAAAACACAATAAACACTTACAGAGAAGTGTGATCAGCTTCTTTAGTGATAAGATTGTGAACATTAAAGACAAATCTTGTGGAACATAGTGTACCAGTGTGCATATTCCTAGACTGTGGAAGATGTGGACATCCAAGGACACTTCAGCTTCTATCAAGTCACCGATACCTGTCGAAGGTGTGAAGAACACCATAGCTCACGCTACAAGAGCAAGGTAGGTTACGAGTTTCTTGTATGGGGGACTGCGCAGTTCTTGAGTCGCAAGGAGTTTGTAATCAACCTATAGTCGGCAGTTATGTGCGGACTTTTGAGTCCAAACAAGTAAGTTTGTCAGCCATCAGTGAATGAAATATGCTGACATAACACCCCATAGGGGTAATTTATTGTTTACATAATATGATCTATTCCAGCCCGTTGAGAGATGATCATGACAACAATTCAAGACCTCGTCTGCAGGGGCGGCTGTGTAGACGATTTGCTGTCTTTTATCAGCTAAGTGTTCCCTATATTCAGTATTATAAATTATATCTTAGTTGGTAAAGCCATTTCTCAACAACACAGCTTCAAGAGTAAATATGATAGGGCCCATAGGCCAGAAATCAATGATATTAAAGAATTCGAGGATGTAGGGCCAGGAGCTGATTCTCAGATCCTGCAGAGACGACATGGTGAGTACCTGGCACACGCGGAAATTGTGACCTTGGATCCTTTAAGGAGATGGAAACCCCAGTACTCTTTGATGTCATCCTGTAGGAGAGTGGAGTGCAGCATGCAGTGGGTGGAACGGTTAACTGAGGTACTCGGAACTCGAGGGCTGACGTAGGCATTGTAGCTGCCGTTCATGCGTGTAGTCTGAGCCTGTAGAGAAAGAACATAAGATTAATTCTCTCTCTGTCTCTCTGTCTCTCTGTCTCTCTGTCTCTGCCTCTGTCTGTCTGTCTGTCTGTCTCTCTCTCTCTCTCTCTCTCTCTCTCTCTCCTCTCTCTCTCTCTCTCTCTCTCTCTCTCTCTCTCTCTCTCTCTCTCTCTCTCTCTTACCCCTTCCCTCTCCCCCCACCTCTTCACTGAATTGCATACTCACAAACTTTAATATTTAAGAAGCCGATACAAAGGCATTGTAGCAAACAAGAGTAGCTGTACATAGCCCCAACGACGTACTCCCTACAATATAACTTTAGCAATAAATAAACACTAGCAACTACCGTCGCAGGTCCATTATCTGCAAGCCTAGCTCATCAAGCACTAACCTTCCGGGACCACATGACCATTTACTTAACACTTGGGTACTACTGTCACCACTCGCATTCTGTGCCTTAATAACAGCCCATTCACTTAACCACAGACATCATGGCACTGTAAAAACAGTCAATGTATTTATATTTCTATATGTATGCTATGCAGGCGCCTGCACATAAATACTAACGCTTGAGATAATTATATACTGTAGGAGGAAAGGGAAAAACATATTTTTCGTGTCAAATTGCTTCAAAACCACACAAATCATCAGTTATATATAGGGGCATGGATATTACATAAGGGCAAATCACTCTAGAATATACAACACAAAATGAGGTTACTTTTACGTTGTTCCTGGCGAGAATCAACCTAGGAGACTGAGTAAGAGACAGACTCGGAAAGTCTGAGCTAATGTGTGAGATTGTGAGTTAGAATGAGAAAGAAAACTTGTCTGCACTGCTTTACATAACCCCTCATCTCGTGTAGCATTAAGACTAACGGAAAAACGTACCCACATCACCCACTTCATGTTGTAAATTGCTTCATAACTAAAATGTTCAAATTTCATTGTTTAAATTACTGAATCTATCGTTGCTTAGTTAATCTTAAGTTAATTTTAAGCCTGCCCATAATGCTCTGCATACAAGGGGCTTTTGGCATGTACACCCAACTACTATAATTCTTTATACAACTATGTATCATGTCCAAATAAAAATTATTATTATTATTATTATTACTATTTTTTTTTTCAACAAGTCGGCCGTCTCCCACCGAGGCAGGGTGACCAAAAAAAAGAAAGTCCCCAAAAAGAAAATACTTTCATCATCATTCAACACTTTCACCACACTCACACATTATCACTGTTTTTGCAGAGGTGCTCAGAATACAAAAGTCTAGAAGCATACACATATAAAGATACACATTATTATTACTATTATTATTATTATTATTATTATTATTATTATTATCATCATCATCATCATCATCATCATCATCACAACCCCACCTACCTGGCACCAGACGCCGGAGACGTGTCTACTAAGGAGACGCTGGTCAGTGGGCATCATAGGGTAGTGCCCGGGTGGGTAGAGTACTAGGCGGACATAGAGAGGGATGGTGATGAGTATCGTGGGCAGCAGCACAGCGCACATACACAGTCTCACAACTCTTCGTGGACCCTGCAGCAGTTTCTGGTTGTCTGGGCATGGCGAAAATAAAAATTTTATCAGTGAACTGCCTTCATACTGGTGAAGGGCTCTTAATCCAAATAATTGGAGTTTCTCTCCCTTTCCTCAGATCAAACCTGATTATCACTCATTTACTAGGGTGCTTATAGGGCCCTCTGGGTTCTTTTGACCTCGAAAATTTTACATTTTTGTGCTCTAACAAACAAAACAACCAAATTTTATTTCTTTGTGCAGTTTAAAAATGTAGTTTACATGTAAAATATTATTTAGCACAAAAGAAAGCCACTAGCATGCATATGCATTTCGAGCAGAGTAATTCTAGTGCTTACACACGACTACTTAAGACTAGATATATAGGTATTTAGTGGTACAGTTTTAGTATGCGTTATTACAAATAAAAAAAGAGGTAGTAACAATAGTAAAAATTTTTGTGTTAATACTTCAAACTGATTCAGTGATCTTGGGCTAATTGGAATTTCTTAAGTAGTTTCTAACTGGCTCTTTCAAAACTGATGGTAGTTAACAAAAACGACTACTGCTTCCCCCGCCCCAACTTCATTCTCTTCCGGCTTTTTTTTTTCTCGCTCATAATGTTGAGTGATCTACCAGGTCATAATGCTGAGTGATCTACCAGGTCATAATGCTGAGTGATCTACCAGGTCATAATGCTGAGTGATCTACCAGGTCATAATGCTGAGTGATCTACCAGGTCATAATGCTGAGTGATCTTCCAGGTCTTACTGCTGAGTGATCTACCAGGTCATAATGTTGAGTGATCTACCAGGTCATAATGCTGAGTGATCTACCAGGTCATAATGCTGAGTGATCTACCAGGTCATAATGCTGAGTGATCTACCAGGTCATAATGCTGAGTGATTTACCAGGTCATAATGCTGAGTGATCTACCAGGTCATAATGCTGAGTGATCTACCAGGTCATAATGCTGAGTGATCTACCAGGTCATAATGCTGAGTGTTCTTCCAGGTCATAATGCTGAGTGATCTACCAGGTCATAATGCTGAGTGATCTACCAGGTCATAATGCTGAGTGATCTACCAGGTCATAATGCTGAGTGATCTACCAGATCATAATGTTGAGTGATCTACCAGGTCTTACTGCTGAGTGATCTACCAGGTCATAATGCTGAGTGATCTACCAGGTCATAATGCTGAGTGATCTACCAGGTCATAATGCTGAGTGATTTACCAGGTCATAATGCTGAGTGATCTACCAGGTCATAATGCTGAGTGATCTACCAGGTCATAATGCTGAGTGATCTACCAGGTCATAATGCTGAGTGTTCTTCCAGGTCATAATGCTGAGTGATCTACCAGGTCATAATGCTGAGTGATCTACCAGGTCATAATGCTGAGTGATCTACCAGGTCATAATGCTGAGTGATCTACCAGATCATAATGTTGAGTGATCTACCAGGTCTTACTGCTGAGTGATCTACCATGTCATAATGCTGAGTGATCTACCAGGTCTTACTGCTGAGTGATCTACCAGGTCATAATGCTGAGTGATCTACCAGGTCATAATGCTGAGTGATCTACCAGGTCATAATGCTGAGTCATCTACCAGGTCATAATGCTGAGTGATCTACCAGGTCATAATGCTGAGTGATCTACCAGGTCTTACTGCTGAGTGATCTACCAGGTCATAATGCTGAGTGATCTACCGGGTCATAATGCTGAGTGATCTACCAGGTCATAATGCTGAGTGATCTACCAGGTCATAATGTTGAGTGATCTACCAGGTCATAATGTTGAGTGATCTACCAGGTCAATGTTGAGTGATCTACCAGGTCATAATGTTGAGTGATCTACCAGGTCATAATGCTGAGTGATCAGGTCTTACTGCTGAGTGATCTACCAGGTCATAATGCTGAGTGATCTACCGGGTCATAATGCTGAGTGATCTACCAGGCCATAATGTTGAGTGATCTACCAGGTCATAATGCTGAGTGATCTATCAGGTCATAATGCTGACTGATCTACCAGGTCTTACTGCTGAGCGATCTACCAGGTCATAATGCTGAATGATCTACCGGGTCATAATGCTGAGTGATCTACCAGGTAATAATGCTGAGTGGTCTACCAGGTCATAATGCTGAGTGATCTACCAGGTCATAATGCTGAGTGATCTACCAGGTCATAATGCTGAGTGATCTACCAGGTCATAATGCTGAGTGATCTACCAGGTCATAATGCTGAGTGATCTACCAGGTCTTACTGCTGAGTGATCTACCGGGTCATAATGCTGAGTGATCTACCAGGTCATAATGCTGAGTGATCTACCAGGTCATAATGCTGAGTGATCTACCAGGTCTTACTGCTGAGTGATCTACCGGGTCATAATGCTGAGTGATCTACCAGGTCATAATGCTGAGTGATCTACCAGGTCATAATGCTGAGTGATCTACCAGGTCTTACTGCTGAGTGATCTACCGGGTCATAATGCTGAGTGATCTACCAGGTCATAATGCTGAGTGATCTACCAGGTCATAATGCTGAGTGATCTACCAGGTCATAATGCTGAGTAATTTACCAGGTCATAATGCTGAGTGATCTACCAGGTCTTACTGCTGAGTGATCTACCGGGTCATAATGCTGAGTGATCTACCAGGTCATAATGCTAAGTGATCTTCCAGGTCTTACTGCTGAGTGATCTACCGGGTCATAATGCTGAGTGATCTACCAGGTTCCCTTAATGCTGAGTGGTCTTACCAGGTCATAATGCTGAGTGATCTACCAGGTCATAATGCTGAGTGATCTACCAGGTCTTACTGCTGAGTGATCTACCAGGTCATAATGCTGAGTGATCTACCAGGTCATAATGCTGAGTGATCTACCAGGTCATAATGCTGAGTGATCTACCAGGTCTTACTGCTGAGTGATCTACCGGGTCATAATGCTGAGTGATCTACCAGGTCATAATGCTGAGTGATCTACCAGGTCATAATGCTGAGTGATCTACCAGGTCTTACTGCTGAGTGATCTACCGGGTCATAATGCTGAGTGATCTACCAGGTCATAATGCTGAGTGATCTACCAGGTCATAATGCTGAGTGATCTACCAGGTCTTACTGCTGAGTGATCTACCGGGTCATAATGCTGAGTGATCTACCAGGTCATAATGCTGAGTGATCTACCAGGTCATAATGCTGAGTGATCTACCAGGTCATAATGATGAGTGATCTACCAGGTCATAATGCTGAGTGATCTACCAGGTCTTACTGCTGAGTGATCTACCAGGTCATAATGCTGAGTGATCTACCAGGTCTTACTGCTGAGTGATCTACCAGGTCATAATGCTGAGTGATCTACCAGGTCATAATGCTGAGTGATCTACCAGGTCTTACTGCTGAGTGATCTACCGGGTCATAATGCTGAGTGATCTACCAGGTCATAATGCTGAGTGATCTACCAGGTCATAATGCTGAGTGATCTACCAGGTCATAATGCTGAGTGATCTACCAGGTCATAATGCTGAGTGATCTACCAGGTCTTACTGCTGAGTGATCTACCAGGTCATAATGCTGAGTGATCTACCAGGTCATAATGCTAAGTGATCTTCCAGGTCTTACTGCTGAGTGATCTACCGGGTCATAATGCTGAGTGATCTACCAGGTCATAATGCTGAGTGGTCTACCAGGTCATAATGCTGAGTGATCTACCAGGTCATAATGCTGAGTGATCTACCGGGTCATAATGCTGAGTGATCTACCAGGTCATAATGCTGAGTGATCTACCAGACCTTACTGCTGAGTGATCTACCAGGTCATGATGCTGAGTGATCTACCAGGTCATAATGCTGAGTGATCTACCAGGTCATAATGCTGAGTGATCTACCAGGTCATAATGCTGAGTGATCTACCAGGTCATAATGCTGAGTGATCTACCAGGTCTTACTGCTGAGTGATCTACCGGGTCATAATGCTGAGTGATCTACCAGGTCATAATGCTAAGTGATCTTCCAGGTCTTACTGCTGAGTGATCTACCGGGTCATAGTGCTGAGTGATCTACCAGGTCATAATGCTGAGTGGTCTACCAGGTCATAATGCTGAGTGATCTACCAGGTCATAATGCTGAGTGATCTACCAGGTCTTACTGCTGAGTGATCTACCAGGTCATAATGCTGAGTGATCTACCAGGTCATAATGCTGAGTGATCTACCAGGTCATAATGCTGAGTGATCTACCAGGTCTTACTGCTGAGTGATCTACCGGGTCATAATGCTGAGTGATCTACCAGGTCATAATGCTGAGTGATCTACCAGGTCATAATGCTGAGTGATCTACCAGGTCTTATGCTGAGTGATCTACCGGTCATAATGCTGAGTGATCTACCAGGTCATAATGCTGAGTGATCTACCAGGTCATAATGCTGAGTGATCTACCAGGTCTTACTGCTGAGTGATCTACCGGGTCATAATGCTGAGTGATCTACCAGGTCATAATGCTGAGTGATCTACCAGGTCATAATGCTGAGTGATCTACCAGGTCATAATGCTGAGTGATCTACCAGGTCATAATGCTGAGTGATCTACCAGGTCTTACTGCTGAGTGATCTACCAGGTCATAATGCTGAGTGATCTACCAGGTCTTACTGCTGAGTGATCTACCAGGTCATAATGCTGAGTGATCTACCAGGTCATAATGCTGAGTGATCTACCAGGTCTTACTGCTGAGTGATCTACCGGTCATAATGCTGAGTGATCTACCAGGTCATAATGCTGAGTGATCTACCAGGTCATAATGCTGAGTGATCTACCAGGTCATAATGCTGAGTGATCTACCAGGTCATAATGCTGAGTGATCTACCAGGTCTTACTGCTGAGTGATCTACCAGGTCATAATGCTGAGGTGATCTACCAGGTCATAATGCTAAGTGATCTTCCAGGTCTTACTGCTGAGTGATCTACCGGGTCATAATGCTGAGTGATCTACCAGGTCATAATGCTGAGTGGTCTACCAGGTCATAATGCTGAGTGATCTACCAGGTCATA